TAAACCGGAGTCAGAGTCCAAGTTTAGTGTGCTGTGTAAAGAGACAAACCCTTACCTGCTAGTAAGAAGAAAAGGAACCTGTAACAGAGTACGCTAACTGAAGTGCAACCTCTTCATGGCTGGGTCTGGGGATCAGCTATCATCTGGTCTAGAGCCCTCTTCTGTCACTCGCTCATCCTGTGGCCCCTTCTCACTCTCCAGGACTCAAGGTGCTCTCTCTTCATGACTCAGCCCTCCAACCAGGTTACTATACAGTCTGTTCCCTGCACCCCCTCCCTTCCAGGGTATCAAAGCCCAGCTAGGTAAACTGTCCATATGCCATCTCAGGCAGTCCTCCGTACCAATTCTAAGTCCGTGCTACTTTCCCAGTGGCTGGTAGCTACCTGCTACTCAAGGTTCTAGCCCATAAACCCTATAATCAGCAGCCAAGGTCTCCACAGTCTCCACCCTCGCTATTCTTTTCCTGGGCTTCTTCACACTCTACCTTCCACAGGCTTTCTTCCCCACAGTATCTCTGGGTAAAACCTTCCTGCAGGGCTAGGATCTCAGGCCTTTTACCCTCTGGATTTCCTCCTACCCACCTTTCTGTGCATGGAGATTGACTGCAGATGCTCTCTCTCTACAGTCCCCTTCTGCTACAAACTTCTTGGCTTTGTACTTGCTCAGCCTGCTCAGACCCAGCTTCATCATCAATAAGCCTTTTTCAATCCCTGGCTCTCCCCAACGTCCAGCCTGTATGGTTAATAAGTCCCTTCTGAGCCAGCTTGGCCCTCTTCAGGGCTGGGTGTGGGTGAACGTCCCATCACAGAATCTGATACTGAAAATTCTTACTGACAGGCTTATGCTAGTGACCCCAATGAGTAAGGACTACTAATAGCGATGGAGGTTTACAGGCTTGAACCCAGAAGAGAAGAGAAAAGAAATGACAATATCTCATGACAGGTACTGGTAAGTCAATTTATTAACTTTCCACTATTGTCCTCAGCTATGTTGTCAACACTGCCTCAAAAGTTAGCTGACTAGAGTTGACTAAAAATTTCAACTTTTTAATTTTAAAAATAAAACATTACTAATGAGTCCCTAAAGTTTAGACAGGATTTACTGTTATATACATTTACCTTCATTTTCCCTTATCAAATGTTGCCTTCTATTTATCTGGCTGGCTCACCTGTGGCATGCAAAATACCAAGGTTCTAATGAAAGGCTACATACAGCCCCATATTGTTACTATTGATTATTTCAGTGCTTAAATTGTAAACTGGGAAAGGGACTGTGTCTTTTTAGTTTGTGTTTGTATACCATCTAGCACAATGGGACCCAGATCCTGATTGAGACCTCTAGAGGCTTAGTACAAATAATAAACAATAATAACAATATACTTACACATAGATTTTCGATAACAATTGTATGGGTCTACAGAGTTCTTGCTCTTTTAAAAATGACATGGATCAGTCATGAGTTTCTTATTTCTTGAAGATAAAATGCAAAAGCAAGTAAGTCTTGAATAACATTTCTAGTTAATGTATCCCTCTTAAAAATATACCCTCTTGGACAAGCTGAAATCTAATTGTTTTAAAGGAAAATAATTTAATGAAACATCAATCTGTTTTCTCACAGCCACTTGTAACTCTGTGCTTCCAGCTTTGTGCTCTAAGTTTCTAATTGCAAGGGTTAATATTTATTTTTTTCTACAAAACATTTTGAGTGTCCTTTATCCTCCCCTGAGAGTCTTTATTCTCTCTGGCACCATGGGAGAACTGGTGTGGCACAGGAGTGAGCCTTTTATAACTGAACTTGGGGTAGTCACACAACTACAACATGAAACAGAAGACAGGGATATCTCTTGGTTTCTCCACCTCCAAGAAATATTTAAGAACTCACACAGTTTTTAAACATTTTAAAAACTTTTCTTGGAACAGAATAGGCAATACTTAGAGCAGCTGCTTGATATTTCCTAAGTAGGCAACTGTAGCCTCACACTGCAAGCAAATAACTAAATGTCCATTGCAATGTGTTTTTGATGCCCTCTGCCCTCTCTGGAGGCTGCCATAATCTTCTGCATAAATCTCATACAGCTGCTGCAAAGCCATTAGTTTGGTAAGACTATTTAAAGTTCCTATTCTAACTCCCACAGCTGGGAGAGAGCCTTAGATCACACCAGTTACTGATGCAATCTGCACATATTAACCCAGCCAGACCTTTTCATTTTGGGGAGAGAAAAATAAAATCAATGGAAAGATTATAAAAGATGTACTTGTTTTCTTGCTAACATATTATCAATCAAATTCTTAAATATCCACATACTAATCAATTCTTAATGTTAAATACTATAAACACTTAGATGGTAAATTCCCGGGGACAGGGGTTGTGCCTCATCCTGTAGTCTTCAGAGTAACAGCCGTGTTCGTCTGTATTCGCAAAAAGAAAAGGAGTACCTGTGGCACCTTAGAGACTAACCAATTTATTTGAGCATAAGCTTTCGTGAGCTACAGCTCACTTCATCGGATGCATACTGTGGAAAGTACAGAAGATCTTTTTATACACACACAAACCATGAAAAAATGGGTGTTTACCACTACAAAAGGTTTTTTGTACTGTAGTCTGTACTGAGAAAAACAAACTATTGGCACACTAAAAATAATATAGCTACTTTAACTGCTAATATGTAACAAAGTCTTAGGCCTTGTCTACACTTGCAAGTTTCTGTACAGTCAAGGTGTGCACACTGCCAAGCCACTTAGTGTGGAGAAACTGCACAGCTGCAGCACTATAAAAAAAAAAAAACCCACTCCGACGAGAGGCCTACAGCTTTCTGCACCAGGGGTACAGCGCCGTGGTGCCGGTGTAGACACCTTGGTCGATTACAGTGCTGCAATTGGCCTCCAGGAGGTGTCCCACAATGCCTGTTTTCATCTCTCTGGTCATTCGTTTTGTTGTACCAATAAAATAAAAACCAGCAGGATCTTATTAAAGGGAAAAAGGCAAAATACCACATTTATTGTGAATACAGAAAGAACCATAGTAAGCAGTTAGTTCTAGTTATAACATTCCATTCAATCTCATATTTATTCACACATTCATTCATACACACACACACACACACACACACACACAGGTTCTGCAAGGTTGTTATCATAGTTACCAGCCTTAGAGTTGCTCATGCCAAGCCACTGGCCAGGTGGCCTGGACATGAGGAGGGAGCAGGGCCTTGTCAGATGCTCATCTGATGCTCCTGGAAGTTGGTTTGCAGAATCAGACCCCAAAGTTCTCACTTTTTAGAGTCTATTTTTATAGGAATTTCTTCCTATGCCAGTCTATGGGAATTGCTTCATCATGCTGTTGCTGAATCAATCAGCAGATAGCACATTCCTGACGGCTCCAAGATGTTATCTTGTTCTTTGGTTCTCCCATTCTTGAGGCTGTTGGGTGGATTCCAGTCTGCCCTCCGGGGGGTCCTCTGGTTATTTCCACTTGACGCCTTCTTCAGCCGATGGACACTGGATTCTTAGGCTGGCACCTCCCTGATCATTCAGTTATTATCCACACCAAGCATCCATCCACATACATCCTCTATCTCTATTTTAATCACAATTGTTAATACAACAAAAGGGTGGGGAGTCTCTGGGTGTTGTTTCTGTTGTTGGAGTATTGCTTTGAGTCTCTCTCTCTGTGAATTGCTTTGAGAACAGACTCTGTCTTAGAATGTACTAACACAATTAGCAGCTTGCAAGTTTCACACATAGAGGGAGAGAAACAGTACCAAAAACCAAGAGACCTCTTAATTAGTAATACTTTGGAATTTAAACTCTGGGGAATCAAACTCATTTGTGATTTTAATACAGAACTTCTTTAATATGATCCAACAGTTTGAACTCTACTGCCCTGCCCTCAGGTGACCATCCGTTATCCCCACCCTGTAAATTCCTTGGGAATTTTGAAAGTCCCCTTCCTGTTTGCTCGGTGATGCGTGCAATGGTCTCAGCGCATCTTTCCAGGTAGCCATGCCTGCTCCACGCAGCAGTCGATCCCCCGCTTGAAGCAATGCCGAGCTGCTGGACCTCATCAGCATTTGGGGAGAGGAGGCTGTCCAGTCCCAGCTGCGCTCCAGCTGTAGGAATTATGATACCTATGGACAGATTTCATGATGCATGACAGAAAGGGGCCATGACCGGGACACGCTACAGTGCAGGGTCAAAGTGAAGGAGCTGTGGAAGGCCTACCACAAGGCACGGGAGGCAAACTGCCACTACGGTGCTGCGCCCACAAGCTGCTGGTTCTACAAAGAGCTGGATGCGATTCTCGGTGGTGACCCCACCTCCACTGTGAAGGCCCCTGTGGATACTTCAGTGGCTCATGTGCTGGTGGAGTGGATGGAGCCAGAAGGAAATCTTGGATGAGGATGTGGAGGGGCAGGCGGACCCAGAGGCAGAGGATGACTCTGAGGTCAGAGATGCAAGCAGCCAGGAGCTCTTCTCTACTCCAGAGAAGGCTAGCCAGTCACAGCTGTCGGAGCTTGGCAAAGTGCAAACAGGAGAGGAGGCCCCTGGTAAGTGGATTTCATTTTTTGAATCACTGAAGCGAGTTGTTGGGGGCAGGAGGGTTGCAGACTGCAGGCTTGTGTCTGTATGATGTGCATACCACCACATGCCTAGTCTGAGTGGTGGAACAGGTTGTTGTCTGTCTGCCTCAGAGACCTCCAGGAAACTCTCTTGGAGATACTGGACAATCCACTGCCGCAGGTTCTTTGGCAGAGCTGCTTTGTTTCTTGCTTCATTAACGGTAACTTTCCTGCACCACTCTGCTTCACTGGGGGTGGGGACCATTGTGGCACACAGGCGAGTCGCAGAAGGGCCAGAGCGGAAGCCACAGTCTTGGAAAAGACCCTCCCTTGATTCCCTGCTCACCCTCAGCAGCGAGATATCTTCCATAATGAACACAGCCTGTGGAAAACGTGGAGACAGGAATGATTATAAGCCCCCCCCCCCCCCCCCCCCCCAGTGCTGGCTCTCTCCAAGAGTCAGATGGCCAGTGTCCCGTAGGGTCTGGGAACAATTATTTACCCTGCCCCTGCGGCTACTCACCATTTTGGGGGGTTTGCGGTTCATGTATCCTTGCCTGAGGTCAGCCAGTTAGTGACCGGTATGTGAATAGTGGCTATGTTTTAAATCATTGGCCTGTGTGTTGCAAACAATACTGCTTCTGTAAAATGTTATGTTTTGGCTTCACAGATATGACTTTGACAGCCCAGCCTCCCTCTTTGTTATCAGCGGCTGAATGGCTGCGCAGAATTAGGAAGCAGCCACGAAGAACTGAAGAGGACTTTGTCTGTGATGTCATCACTCCGTGGCCAAAAAACAAGAATTGAAGGAGTGGCAGGACAGCGAGAAGAGGGACCGAAAGGAGAACGCAACGCACCAGAACGAAGCCACGGAGCGGCTCTTAAACGTTATGGGGCGCCAAGCAGACATGCTCCAGGCTCTACTAGCACTGCAAACCGAGCAGCTCAACATCCGTCCTCCCCTGCAGCCGCTGTCGCAAAACTCTTTCCCATACGTCCCCCCAGACACCGCCAACACACTCTTCTCAACCTCCTGGCTCCAGTCTGAACCCGCTGCATTCCATTCCTCTGCCCTGTCACAGTCCAGCCCTGTGGACTCCCAGTACCCACTGCACTCATCACCCGTCCCTCTGCAGTGTAGCCCTACTGAAGTACAGTAACCTCTGCACTGTACTCCAAAGGAGAAGGCTGGATAGGATACCCGGCTATACACAAATCTTTAACGGTCCCAGGACCCCACCTCCTCCTGGCACCCTCCCTTCCCCCATCCCCCTCAGTGCTGAAGTGTTTTTTTTTGTTTGTCTCTCTCCTCTGTTGTTTTTTAATAAAAGAATTGTTTTGGTTTGAAAGCAATCTTTATTCCACTAATTCAAAGCAAATGGAGCCCTGCAAAGCAATAGGCAATTTTCTTACACCTTCATAGTGCACCATCTGCACCAATCACAATCACCTCCTAGCATTACAAGCACTGCACTACTGAGCATAACAACAAATATTAGTGGCTTTCATCTTCAGATTGCTGCCTCAAAGCATCCCTGATCCTTATGGCCCTGTGATGTACCCCTCTAATAGCCCTGGTCTCTGGCTGTGCAAATTCAGCCTCCAGGGACTGAGCCTCCGTGATCCATCCCTGAGTGAAGCTTTCACCCTTCCCTTCACAAATATTATGGATTGTACAGCATGCGGCTATAAGCATAGGAATATTGTCATCAGCCAGATCCAGCCTCCCATATAGGCGGTGCCAGTGGGCCATTAAACGGCCAAAAGCACACTCAACAGTCATTCTGCCTGTTACTGTTGAACCACTCCTTGCTGCTGTCAAGGTGCCCCGTGTATGGCTTCATAAGCCACGGCATTAAGGGGTAGATAAAGTCTCCCAGGATCACAATGAGCATTGCGACTTCCCCTATGGTGATCTTCTCGTCCAGGAAGAAAGTCCCGGCTTGCAGCTTCCAGAACAGGCCAGTGTTCTGAAAGATGCGTGCATCATGCACCTTTCTGGATGAGCCTGCGTGAAACGCCCACGGTAATCCACAAGCTCCTGGAGAACCATTGAGAAATACCCCTTGAGATTAATGTACTCGGTGGCTAGGTGGTCTGGTGCCAGAATTGGAATATGCGTACCATCTATTGCCCCTCTGCAGTTAGGGAAGCCCATCTGTGCAAAGCCATCTACAATGCCATGTACACTGCCCAGAGTCACAGTCTTTCGGAGCAGGATGCAATTAATGGCCCTGCACATTTCTGTCAACATGAGTCTAATAGTCAACTTTTCCACTCCAAACTGGTTAGCGATCGATTGGTAGCAGTCTGGAGTAGCCAGTTCCAAAGTGCAATCGCCACACACTTCTCTGATGGCAGGGCAGCTCTTATTCTCGTGTCCTGGCACCGCAGGGCTGGGATGAGCTCATCACACAGTCCCATGAATGTGGCTTTCCTCATCCAAAAGTTCTGCAGCCACTGCTCGTCATCCCAGACATGCATCACGATGTGATCCCACCACTCAGCGCTTGTTTCCCAAGCCTAAAATCAGCATTCCACTGTGGTCAGCACCTCCGTGAATGCCACAAGCAATCTCGTGTCATAGCTACTATGTGTGGCGAGATCAATGTCGCACTCCTCTTGCCTTTGTAGTTTAAGGAATAACTCCACTGCCACTTGTGACATGTTAGTCAGAGCGAGCAGAATTTTGGTCAACAGTGTGGGATCCATTCCTGCAGACCAAAAAGGCAGAGCAGAGTGTGCAGTATACAAACCGTTGAAGGATGGTGCCAAATGCAGACAGAAGCACAGGGATTGCGGGGATGCGAAGCAATGCATCACGGGGCATTGGGACAGGAGCCAAGATGCCCCGCAACCTCTTCTGCCTTCCCACAACTCTTAGCGGCAGAAGAAGAAGAGATGCTCTGTGGGATAGCTGCCCAGAGTGCACCGCTCCGAATACCACTGCAAGTGCCACAAGTGTGAACATGCTATTGCACAGGCAGCTGACAGTGTGAACACACAACAGTGGTTTCCCTTCAGTGCTCTCTGAACGGTGCTGTAACTCCGCCAGTGTAGACATACCTTTAGTTAAAGAAAGGAGTAATAAACACATATTTCAATCGAACAAACTCTGTTTACAGCTTGGTTTCACAGACTGTTGATCTTATAAATTGAGGCCTACCTGTCACAGTGATAGGAGAACTAGGGATATTTTAGATGCATTAACTCCAACTCCAGTTAAAACATGAAAACCAAAATATCCAAGTGTGGTTCACAAGTAACGCACCTAACTTCACATCTAGGCACCTATGTAAAATGGCTTGATTTTTAGAGGTGTTGAGAACTTGCAGCTCTCATTCACTTTTGGGGGTGTTGCGAATGCCCAGAACTTCCAAAACTCAGGCCACTTTTACACAGTTTCCTAAGGATGGAGTTAGGTGCTTTAAGCAACACTATGCGAAAAATTTGACCTTACATTATACCCACAGCAGGTGGGAGAAATAAGGGCGCATCCGACACAGAAGATGTACTACATGCAGTGGGAGAGGGAGTCGGAGGACACTTCCAGCAGAGAGAATGACACACGCAGTCTGAGGGTGGAAAATAAGTAACTTCTGGAACAGAGGGGAGGGTAACTGGGTGGGTGTAAAATACGGACAGCTCCAGCACAGAATATGTCAGATGCTCAGCGTGGGAGAAATGAGGCCATCTCCAGCACAGAAGCTTTTGCAGAGACTGAGAACCTGATCCTCAGCTGCTGTCTATTGGTGTGTGTGTGAGAGAGAAATCAGGGCACCTCCAGCAAAGAGGCTGCAGATAGCACACACAGTAAGTGGATGCGGGGGAAATTAAATCCTGGTCGGTGGATCCTTAACTCAGAGGGAATCCCCTCCACTGTGCTGCAGCTGCCAACATGTGCTGTGCTTAAGAGAGACCCAAAATGGGGGCAATGCTCAGAAAAACAAAATCACTCCTTCGAAGCCTGGCAGAGGCTGCAAAGCCTTTGTGCAGGTGGCTGGGGCTGAGCTGGCTCAGGCTTACCCCTGCTTAGCACATGGTGGCACTGTGAACTGGGAAGGTGCCGGGGCCCCTCCATTAACACAGCACACACAGCTGATCCAGGAGATGCAAGGAGGACAGCAGCAGGAGTGAAAGAAGGATGGAGGAGGTAATGCAAGGCAATGTACAATAATTGGCAAAGTCAGAAGGAAACCGTCAACCCACCTTTTGCACCTGCCTCCAAATGTGCCTGTTAGCCATCTTAGCTTCTGGCAATGAAATCTATGGGTTGCAAGTTCTGAGGGCTATAGGACACCCTGAAATCTATGGGCTGTAAATTGTGAAGGCTGACATACCCTTCGGACAATGCCTACGCTTCAGTTTGCTCCCTTGAGCCCTGATTTACAGCTGTCTGATTCCAGTTTTATGCTAGTGTATTTTCACTTAAATAATTGTTTTCCACTGAAATCTATGTAATTTACCTATGTAAAATTGGAGTAAAGCAGTGGTGAACCAGGCTCTTGGTCCATAAGTAGGTACACATAGTGATGTACAATGGTGTACAATTTGTACACCACTCAGGAAATACCCACACATCTGTTTTCAACTCTGTTCCACAGCAAGGCACTTTCTGAGCTGTATCAATCTAATATTCTTCCTAAATGTGATCCTTCATTTGATGTAAACTTTTTCTGGCTTTGCATGCACACTTCAAACTGAAAACACTCACTCTGGGCCAGACTGAAATACCCATTCTCAAAGGGAGTAATACTTTACTCCACAAGTAGTGTCATTGATTTCAGTGGGACTACAGCTGGAGTCATGTGTTATTGGTGTCAAGGCTGATTCCCCACTCTGGCCCTTTGAGTGCAGGAGGTGGGGGCCCTTAAAATAATAATAAAAAAAATAATACTGGCCACTCCAGGCGTGTATTAAACTCCCAAGGTTACAAGTTTTTTCTGACCTTGGATGGGTAGATGCTGCTACCACCCAAGTGCAAAAACCCCTTTGAGGACCCAGGAAGGACACTTGGGAATTCCTTCCTGTGGGGTACCTTCAAGCCCTTTCACCTCCCCTCTGGGGAAGAGCTGAAAAAGAAAACAAAGGAAATCAGCTGTTGCCACCAGCTAATTAAACAAGATGTGCACAAACCTCTTAGAGACACACAAATCCAATCCTGTTCTTAAAAAAGATAAATTTTAGTAACAACAACAACAAAAGAAAATACATCCTCTAACTTAGGCTTTTTGCTAGATTTGGAAAAAAAAACAATTACAAGGATTAAGCATCAAGATAGCTTCTTGAGGTCCAGCTTAAAGGTTACAAGCAAAACAAAAGCACCTAGGATTAGCACAGAGGAGTCCACAAGCCATAAAGAAATAAGAGAGAAATCTAATCGCATCTTCCTAGACATTTCCTGATCTACTTACATATCTGGGGTTTCAAATGAGTAATTTCTAGGTATGACCTGGTGATTTTTCATAGCTGGCCCAAAGCTTTTTACAGCATAGTTCCAGCCCTGTCTCTCTCGCCAGGAGAATAACACAGACAGCAAAGGGGAAGTTTTTCCCCAATTTTAAAAAGTTCTAGCCTTCCCATTGGCTCTTTTGGTCAGGTGCCCACTCCCTTCCTTTTAGCTATGGACTTTTTAACCCTTTACAGGTAAAGCAAGTATAGAACAGCTACTAACAGGGGTTTTATAGCTAACTGGCTGGCTAGGTGTCCATAAAAGGGAGCTCCCCCCCATTCATTTATCAAAATCTGTTTTTCAGTTTTCAGAATGGAGAGAGGTAAATAGTGGTGTCCCCCGGGAATCTGTACTGGGACCAGTACTGCTCAACATATTCAAGGGGTAAACAGTGAGGTGATACAAAGTTACTCAAGACAGTGAAGTCCAAAGCAGACTGCGAAGAATTACAAAAGGATCTCACAAAACTGGGTCGCTGGGCAACAAAATGGCAGATGAAATTCAATGATCAAAATGCAAAGTAATGCACATTGGAAAACATAATCCCAACTATAATACAAAATGATGAGATCAAATTGGCTGTTACCACTCAAGAAAGAGATCTTGGAGTCACTGTGGATAATATTTTGAAAACATCTACTCAATATGTACCAGCAGTTTAAAAAAAAGGGGGGAGGGGGGCAGGAGAGGGAACTGAATGTTAGGAATCATAAGGAAAGGGATAGATAAGAAGATAGAAAACATCGTAATACCACTATATAAATCCATGGTATGGTATGCCCATACCTTGAATACTATGTGCAGTTCTAGTCACCCCATCTCAAAAAAGATATATTAGAATTGGAAAAGATACAGAGAAGGGCAACAAAAATGACTAGGGGTATGGAACCACTTCCATGTGAGGAGAGATTAAAAAGACTGGGACTTTTCAGGTTGGGAAAAGAGACGACTAAGAGGGGATATTATAGAAGTCTTTAAAATCGTGAATGGTGTGAAGAAAGTGAATAAGGAAGTGTTATTTTCTTCTTCACATTACACAAGAACCGGGGTCACCCAATGAAATGAATAGGCAGCAGATTTAAAACAAACAAAAGAAAATACTTCTTGTAGCGGGACAGATACCCTGCTCCTGGGAGAAAAGAGTAGGCTGATTGGGGAAGTGGCCACAGAGATGGGCCTAACTACCTGGGAGCACAGGGTGACGGAAGCAGAACAGTGCTGGGGGAGGGTGAGCAGAGCTGGGGAGCTCCAGCCTGGCAACTCCCCAGGCTGAGGCCTTGGTAAAGGCCTAGGGAGGTACCAGGGCTGAAGGGAAAGGCAGCTGGTCCAGCCCCCTTGCCAGTGATGAGTGGCCATTACAAACTGCATTTTTACCCCAGTGAAAGAGGGCTAGATGACAACTGGCAGTAGCCACAAAGGCAAGGTGGGCCTAGAGGGTTTGGGGTTCCTCTGGGAGGGGAGACCCAGAGTGTGGGGGTACTGCTGGGGCAGAACCCCAAGGTAAAGGGCACCGGGATCCGAGACAGACATGGGGCCCTGAGGCAGGCGAGACACTGGCCAGCAGAGGGTGCTCTGAGGTTGGAAAAGAGCTAGTGCCCAGATGACCAGCAGGAGGTGCTGTGCCGGTGAGCGTTGATCTGCTACACTTCTTCATTCAACGTGCAGTCAACCTGCAGAACTTGTCGCCAGGGGATGTTGTGAAGGTCAAAACTATAATAGTGTTCAAAAAAGAACTAGATAAATTCATGGAGGATAGGTCCTTCAATGGCTATTAGCAATGTGATATTTTCTGCCTTATTATCTATCCTTATGGCTTTTTTGACTGCCGCTGCATATTGAGGGGATGTTTTCAGAACACTATCCACAATGACTCCAAGATCTTTCTTGAGTGGTAACTGCTAATTTAGACCCTATCATTTTATATGTATAGTTGGGATTGTATTTTCCAATGTGCATTACTTTGCATTTATCAACACTGAATTTCATCTGCCTTTTTGTTGCCCACTCACCCAGTTTTGAGAGATCCTTTTGTAGTTCTTCGCAGTCTGCCTGGAATTTAACTATCCTGAGTAGTTTTGTATCATCTGCAAATTTTGCCACCTCAGTGTTTACTCCTTTTTCCAGATCATTTATGAATAAGTTGAATAGGACTGGGCCCAGTACAATCTCCTGGCGGACACCACTATTTACCTCTCTACATTCTGAAAACTGACCATTTATTCCTACCCTTTGTTTCCTATCTTTTAACCAGTTACCAATCCATAAGAGGACCTTCCCTCTTATCCCATGACAGCTTACTTTGCTTAAGAGCCTTTGGTGAGGGACCTTGTCAAAGCCTTTCTGAAAATCTAAGTACACTATATCCACTGGATTCCCCTCGTCTACATGCTTGTTGACTCCCTCAAAGAATGCTAGCAGATTGGTGAGGCATGATTTCCCTTTACAAAAACCATGTTGACTCTTCTCCAACAAATTATGTTCATCTGTGCCTGACAATTTTGTTCTTGACTATAGTTTCAACCAGTTTGCTTGGTACTGAAGTCAGGCTTACCAGCCTGTAATTGCCGGGATCACCTCTGGAGCCCTTTTAAAAAAAATTAGTGTCACATTAGCTATCCTTTAATCATTTGGTACAGATGCTGATTTAAATGATAGGTTACAGACTACAGTTAGTAGTCTTGCAATTTCACGTTTGAGTTCCTTCAGAACTCTTGAGTGACTATCATCTGGTCCTGGTGACTTATTACTGTTTAGTTTATCAATTTGTTCCAAAACCACCTCTAATGACACCTCAATCTGGGACAGGTCCTCAGATTTGTCCCCTAAAAAGAATGGCTCAGGGAATCACGGCTGGGGATGTGAGGGAGAAGACCGATGCAAAGAATTTATTTAGTTTCTCCACAATGGCCTTATCGTCCTTGAGTACTCCTTTAGCAGCTTGATCATCCAGTGGCCCCACTGGTTGTTTAGCAGGCTCCCTGCTTCGGATATCCCCCTATGCCCCCTAGGCTCTGCCAAAAAAGAGCATAACACCAGGCTATCCTCTGTGGTATCTGCCATGCCTGTATCACATCCTTTTACCATTCTCACTATGCACCTTCTTTCATTGTGTCTCCTATTGCCTTGGACTCCTCTCTTGATTATGGACCCGATTCTCATTTACACAAAGGATTTATTCACAGGGTGTGGTTTTTGCAGATTAAGCTAACTGTTTCAAAACAATTGCATTCACACAGCTGGGTTTTACCCACTTCCCTCTGAATCAGTGCATACAAACAGCACTGACATATTTAGAAATAAGTGCTCAGCATTCTGGGAAAATATCCCATTGTGCTTTGTCCAACTGCTGGGATCTATGAATTGTGGGACACTAGAACGGTGTAAAAGGGCCATTAAATTGAGTGTAAAGGGTTCTAAAGGTAAATGAGAATCAGGCCCTCAATCGCTAATGCCTCCCCTCTCTCCTCTTTTACATGCTTTCCGTAAAATTGCTCTTTTTAAGGTAGAGCATCATATAGACTATTCATATATTCACATATATAACACCCCAAAATACCTCACAACCCATATTTTGGCCTGCAGCATAATCACACTTCCCCTCAACCAGTTGTCATTGTGCTTGTGCTTGTCATTGTGTTGTCATTGTGCTTGTATTAATTAAGCCCCCAATCCTACAACAAGGTACACTTAGCACAGACCCTTCTGCCTACAAAGAATCCCCCTGAAGTTGTGTGAGGAGTAATGACTGGCAGCATCAGTCTCTCAAGTGTTCTTTGTTCTGACATAAGCAGTGGAGCTAAAGAATTACACACAATGTCAGTTAACAATTTTCATGTGTAGCCCAAAGCAGATGGGAAAATCTGCAAAAGCAGAACAGAAACAATCACTTTCAAATATTATTGTTTGAAACACTGCATGTATTAGATCTGTCATAAAGATAGCTGCTTCTAATTTTCAGGTAATGTGTGATAGAGGAAGGAGATGAGCACTTTAGAACCCGATCCTGCCAAGTGCTGAGCCTTGAGCACCTTGCAGTATTAAACCCCCACACTGAATGGGTTCTGAACAGTTGGACAAGCCATGTTTGGGGAGCATGGGAATCACATTACTTTGATACTAGGGCCAACATTTTCAAACCTGAATGCCTAATGTTAATTCTCCTAAAATCATATTTAGGCTTCTAAGTGTAAGTGTCATGATTTTCAGAAGTGCTGCAGTCAATAGAAGCTGTGACTGGTTCATCAACATCGGGCTACTTATAGTGTGAGGCTGCAATCCTACACTTATACACATGCTCACCTTTCCTCATATGAGCAGTCCCATTGACTTAAAGGGAACTGCTCATATGAATAAAGCTAAGCACACACGACTCCCTGCAGGAGCAGGGTCTAAATCTGTATGTAGGTTCATGCGTTTAAAGTTGGGAAATAGGACAATGTGGTTCTATACATACTGTAATTCAATGTACTAAGGCTTAAATCTGCTCTTCCCACTGTAGCTCAAATAAGAGGGCTATATGAGGACTGAGTGTGGAGGTGAAAAATGCGATTCAAAATACATTAGCACTTAGGAAAGAAAATACATTAAATCTTCAAGGTTCTAGTACTATAAGTGGCTTCCCTCTCATAGGAAAAATTCTGTTCAGGAAGGGTTGTAATATTTTTTGTTAACTAATGTCGTGAAAATAGCTTATCTGTCAATTTAAACAGACACAGATATTACACATCACCAGAACAGGTTTATAAATTTTTGCAAAATAATTAGGTGGAATTGACAAAGTACTTCATTAGCAAAACAATTACTAACATTTATACAAGGTGGCACATTTTCTGACATTAGTAGAACCATTACTACTTAGGGAGACCACATGCAAATTAGAAAACAAATATTAAAACAGCCAAACATTTGAATTAATATGTGACCAGGACGTCACTAAAAAGTGAACCTCTTTCTTCTATAGCTTTACTGATTCCGTTGTACAATGCAGGTTCTAAGGCCCTTGGAACAAAACCCGCCCCTCCTGGGAGGTAATGTTCAAGGGGAAACAGGGTGACGTCACTGCCCAGCTAACAATGGATCAGAAGAGGGGACGAACTCCGGTTCCAGCACAAGGGATATTTCCTACGTGATGCGCTGTGACTTTGTATGTCACTCCGCATTTGGGTTCGGATACTGACAATCCAACCCCCCCACCCCCAGTATGTGCAGCCCCCTCCTGATCTGCTGCTCCTCCATCAAGCCCCCCACGCTCGGGCTCTGCCTCTCTACCCGCGCACCCACCCCCAAGCTGCGCCACCCTCACCACCCGCCCCCGACATCCCCAGCTGATCGGCCCCGAGCTGCGATCCTGCCAATGCGCCCCACTGACCCGCTCCTCCCCCGATCTGCTCCTGCGTCCCCCGCGGCTCCTAAATCCCCCGCACCTGAGCGCCCATCCCCCGACCGCTTGGCCCCCGATTTGCTCCCCCCACCCCCAAATCTGCTGCGCTCCCTGCCCCCAGTCCCACCTGCTCCTCCATCCCCCAACACGTCCTCCCTCCGGCCCCTTGCTCCGCTCCGCTCCGCTCCCCGCGCGGCTCCGGCAGGGCCAAGGTGCGTCCGGGGAAGGGCAGCGAGACTCCTCCAGGCGCAGGGCCGCGGCCGGGCAGCGGCTTCCCCGTGGCTTCCCGGGCCCACTAGGCATGTGCAGAGGTTGCGCACACGCCCATGATGAGGGCGAGCGCGGGGGCCGGAGCATGGGCAGACGCGCGATGGGTACCGTCTGAGGCAGGGCAGCTTCTGCCCTGACACCTGCAGCATGTGCCAGGAGCTGCAGCCGCATCAGCAGCCTGCGCGCGGTGCCGCCTCTCGGCTCGCAGCGGGAAGCGGCGGCAGCAGCTCCCTCTCTCTGCCTCTCTCCTGCTTTGCACTCTATTTCAGTGGGTGCATGGTGACCTTACAGAGTGTGCATTACCTCACAGGTAAATATCAGCTGATCCGCTGTGACAGCAGCAGCAGCAGCAGGAGCAGGAGCAAGCATCAGCCCACAGAGCCTTTCTGGAGGTAGCAATTCATTCATTCCTTCACTCATCTTGTCCCTCACCTCTCCTTTCCCTCCCCCCCTTTTCCCAGGCAAAAGCCAAAAGGCTCGCAGAGGATTCTGAAGCCTCCATTAAGGATGGTTCCCACCACTGCAAAGAGCCTGAGGAGTATTTAATATTGGAGGGGGGGGAGGGAGGCAGGGAGGGATGAAAATTTCTGAGCCAGAGGCGGCTGCTAGTGTTGCAATGCACTGCGGTGTCAGTGGAAATGGCTAAGGGGAAGGATGTGCTGGCAGGGAGAGGGTTATTCAGCCTGTTGCCCACTTAGATATAAATATATTTTGGGTGACTCATATTTGCATTGGTACGTTGTTATGCATTCATTTTTCCAATGTATGAAATACCCAAGCTGGAGTTGCCCTGCTACACAGAGAGAGGGATGCTGATACTGAATTCTTGAGGTGGTAAGAAGGGGGAAATGGGGGTGATAACTTGGTGTCTGCTATTAAGTAGGTCCCGGTGGGAGAGCTCCCTTTTTGATAAGGTCTGATGGTTATTGGCATCATGCATTCCATTACCAAACATTACCAATATATACATTCATGTGCAGAGAGGGAGAGTGTGTATGTGGGGAGACGGGGGGAGCACAGGGAATTTTTCATAGGCCTGCGACATATGTTATTTGACTTTTACTGTACTTCAGCTTTTCTGTGGGGTTGGGTTTTTTTCAATGGTGAAGGTGCACGTTGCCGGTCACTGGGCTTTAAACGTACTTGCCGTTCCATTGATGATTCTGGCAGTTGTAAGATGTTTGTGTATGTGTGTACATACAGGCCGATTGGAAGAGGGACAGATGAATCTAGCTCTGATTAATAAAATTCTAGCATCTTTAAACACCAGCTCTGTAAGTTTTTTTCTAGAAATTTAACTTAGTGGAGTCTATAATTTTTACCAAATGTATCAGGGAGCACTTTCACGGGTGTGCTATGAAGTATTATCATCAAGTAACTGAAAACTGGCTAAATAAATGATTGAAATATACTTGATAATGCATTATCTTTGTATTTGTAATTGTCTGTCCACTTACTTGCTAATTCACAAACTTTAATAATTTGCAATGAATATCCTAGTCACTGCAGAATAGTTAGATCATACTATACTGTAATAGCCTTTACCCATAGAATAATTATTACTTAAAAATTAAATTAAGCTTTTAGAGGTACTGTGGTCAGATGAACCTCATAAATGTGCATAGGAATTCATTTCTTAGTATATGCAATGTTTCAGATGGTGTTTAAACACTAGTGTGAATAAATGTCACTTGATAAATCCTGATATTTATCAGTGACCTAGAAGGTTTTGAAATGAGAGGTTCATGAAATAGAATGTGTTGAAACAACATCATAAGCTTATTATTTCTAGAATTTCAGTCCTGTCTCAAGCTCAAAGTTGTGTAAGTTACTGTTCTCTTTTGAACACTTTGCTGCCATTTTTCCCTATTATTCCAGCATTGGGGATGGTTATATAATATTTTTTTTAAAAAAGGAAAACGTTTTCAGCTGTAACTCCATCATTGCTGTAGAATCCAACAGTATTTTTCTAAGCTTTCAGTTGAATGTTAGCATATATTGCATATGTATCACCAACACCATGGGACAAACACATTATGGGGATCTGTCACACTTTTGACACCCGGTACACTATTCACTAATGAAGTGATAAAAAGTGTAAAAAATTAGTGCTGTGTCCTTTTTTTTTAAAAAAGGTAACCTGTTGACAAAAGATGTGTTAGTGTGTGTTCAAATTCAGTTCCATAACTTATGACTTTGTACCACCTCTTCAATGATAACCACTGCCAACTCTTAGAGCTTGATCCTGCTCCCACTAAAGTCAATGGCAAATTTCCCATATTTACCCAATATCAGCACTGAATGTATTGGTAGTGTTTATTGTTTTACCACACGAACAGAATTTATGGTCAAGTTATGATTATGATTACAATAAAATATGAAAATGAATTCCTCATGTTTATAAACAGCAGTGCATAAAGTGCAAAATTCTGTATTGTCCTATTAGAGAGAGATTTAGTTATAACCAAAATAAGTAGCTACACTCATGCAAGAGTAGGAGTAAATACAAAATTACCCCTCACCCACTGCCTGAGCACATAAATTATGAATGTGACACTGTGTATGTGGCCCCCCAATTGTGTCTCAGTGTAATCTGCTCCATGTACATTTTTTTGTGTGTTATAATGTATACCAACAATAGTTTACATCAATGTTATGCATACGCAAACATTCCTGATTCTGCTCTCACTTATAACAGTATCAGGCCCTGATCCTGGAAGGAGATGTGCTGGTGACACCCACATGGAATCCTCTTGATTTCACAATCTAAAAACTGCTGAAAAACAAGAGAGTGGTTTTGAGAATCTGTTAGAGGGAAATTTATTAAATCTTTTAGAAGAAAAACAAGGGGACTTTTTTGTTTTTGAGGCCTTTGTTCTTCTCAGCTAGTTTCCTCTGAATTTTATTTGTGCATTGTAAAAGGCTGTACAGCTCATTTTCCCCTCACACCATTTTTACACAAGTATAAAATTCTGCTGACTTCAGTATGTAAAGGTCAGCACCTGCACATCTGTTTCCAGGATCAGAGCCTTAATCAGCTATAAGTGTAATGAAGTCAGTGGAAATACACCGATGTAAAATTGGTATGACCGGAGAATCAGCTCCATAATCTTTTACTCTTGTACAGTTGAAAGTCAGAAGGAATTAGCAGTGAAGAACAAAGGCCACAAACAAACACACCATGTCCTTCTTTAAAAAGTTTAATAAATTGCCATCTAACAGCTGTCCAGAAAGTTCCTCTCTTTTATTTTCAGCAGTTTTCTGAACTACAGTCTTGGAGTTAACATTGTTCTGGAACAACTTTTTGTTTAAACTGATTAAGCTCCATGCCCTTAATTTTGTGGTGTTAAGCATAACTTGCAAACTCATTATTAACAGTTGGCAAAGACTGTTTTTCTTTAAAAAGGCTGCCTAAGTATACTGCCAAGTGTATCATGGTAAATCCTAATGACTATGTTTTAAACTATTGTTTTTTACATTAATTATATAAGTCCCCACCCACTCAGCACAGTTACAAAATGTAAGTATTGTGGACTGTTACAGACTGATTAATTGTGCTATGAGATTTAACTATTCATTAACGTGGGCTACACAGTTCATGACTAGCTGTGTGGGGTACTCCGTGAGTGTTTCTACCAGCTATGTTGTAGGGGGGAGAGAATCTTGGGTTTGAGTCACACAGGTATAAAACTGGTGTACTGGAGTCATGAGTCAGGCCCTTTACGTTTAAGTTTCATACTGCTGGTATGTATGTACTGTGTGTATGACATTCATTATGAATCCAGGCAAGAAACTAACATAAATGCAGTTGAAAAAGTTACTGAACACTCAGCCTTAATGATGAGCCCTCATATGGCATTTCTTTATGGGCTTGATCCTGCTTCCATTGAAATCAGTGGTGCAAGATTAGGCCTTATGTCATGATATATTAGTATGTCAAATATTATACAATACAATAAAAACTCCAGTTTCTTATACAGTCTGATGTGCCTAGCACTTATATTGCACTGGCTGACATGTAGATATCAAAAAGAAAAGGAGTACTTGTGGCACCTTAGAGAAAAGTACTCCTTTTCTTTTTGTGAATACAGACTAACACGGCTGCTACTCTGAAACATGTAGATATCAGTGTGCTTGACAAAGCTGGGTCAGTCTCTTTATCACCATTTTAAAAATAAGGACACAGATTACAGAAAGGTTAAATGAACTGTCCAAGGTTGCATGCAAGTCAGCGGCAAAAGTAAGACTAGAACATAGGTATACTGACTCCAAACTCTACCCATCTATCAGCCATACTATAATATTCAGCTGAGTTTGTCACTGAATAGTACTTTCTAAAATAAGCCTTGATCCTGGAATTTCTCTGCGGGTGGACTGCTTCACCTGCTTGGAGCCCTATTGATTCCAGTGTAAATTGCCGCTGGGACATTAGTTAGGTTGTACTCATCATTAATAAAATCACATTTAAACATGAAACCTTAGCTCACTTTTAAAACATCTTAGATACCAGGGGTAAAACTCCTGGCTCCTTTAAGTCAATGGCAAAGCTCCCATTGACTTCAGTGAAGCTAGGATTTCTTCCCAGTGAATGTCTGCAGGGCTGATGCCAGACACTTGTGTGCCCTAAGTAATGTAACATGAGAGAACAACATTGCCCTACAGTTTCACTTTTCTGTCACCCTTTCTCATACCTTTATTGCCTTGTTTCTTTGAGGTCTGTGCCTCACTGCTCTTGCTAATAGTGCTTAGCACATTGCTAACTTTAACTAATTAGTAGTGTCAGCATCCCTAAGAAGTAAGTAGTATTAATTTCATCATTTAACAGCTGGGGAAATTGAAGTAACTTGGTCCAGGCCACAAAGGAATTAGAATGCAGGAATTCCTTGCTCCAAAATCCCAGACCTCTGCTTAGACCATTAGACCAGGCTGCCTCTCACAATATTGAGTGGTCTCTCCTTGTGGCCTGAAGCCACATTAATTGCTCTGCAGAGGCAAGCAACTAGCTGGCAACTGTGACAGAGCTTTATTCCTGGGGGAATTCTGCATCACTGCAAAGGCACATAATTAATGAGCTCCGCATATTTTACATTTTTTG